ACCACTCCTGGAGGTGCTAGAGCTGGACAGCCACCGCAGCCTGAGCTACTTGAGACGCTCTCGCCGCAGGCGATTCGTGCGTGGGTCGTTCGGCAAGGCAGTCCTGGTGGTGGAGGGTACGGTCCTGCTGGTGCTGGAGCTACTAGTCCTGGAGGTGCTGCTGGTGCTGGAGGTCCTAGAGGTGCTGCTGGTGCTGGAGCTACTAGTCCTGGAGGTGCTGCTGGTGCTGGAGGTGCTGGAGGTACTGCTGGAGGTACTAGAGGTGCTACTGGTGCTGGAGGTACTGGAGTTGCTAGGCCTGGAGGTACTGGAGGTGCTACTGGTGCTGGAGGTGCTGGAGGTACTGCTGGTCCTGGAGGTACTGGTGCTGCTCGTGCTGGAGGCACTGGAGCTGGAGGTACTGGAGCTGCTGGAGCTGCTGGTCCTGGAGGTGCTCGTACTAGAGGTGCTGGAGCTGCTGGAGCAGGAGGTACTGCTGGTGCTGGAGGCGCTGGAGCTGGAGCTGGAGGAACTGGAGGTGCTGGAGCTGCTGGTCCTGGAGGTACTCGTACTAGAGGTGCTGGAGCTGCCGGAGCAGGTGGTGCTCCTGGTGCTGGAGGTGCTAGAGGTGCTAATGGAGCTGCTGGCACTGGAGGTGCTGGAGGTACTGCTGGTGCTAGAGGTGCTAGCACTGCTGGAGCTAGTGGTGCTGGAGGTGCTGGTGCTACTGGTGCTGGAGGTGCTGCTCGGAGTACTGGTGGAACTGCTCGTGCTGGAGGTACGGGGGCTACTGGTGCTCTTCGCCACCTTCTCGGTCTTCCACCAGGTGCTACTGACTTCCCTGTGGCAGGTACTACTCCTCCGTTACTGTTTCCACCAGCAGACCAGTCACAGCCGCAGCTGCTACCGCACTCCCCACTGCCTGCTCCTGCTCCTTACACTGCGGTGACACAGTCCCTGACTGAGCGTCGAGAGCCTGAGACTCGTGCTTCCACCCCTGAGCGTCGAGAGCCTGAGTCCAGCTTTGACCTTGAGCCCGAGCCTAGAGCTGCTGTCCGTTCTCGTGTTCCTCGTATTCGTTGCCAGCGTGCTCCGTCTGTCCCAGGCACTCACGATATGACACTCTGTCCTTCCTCTGTTCCACAGCGTGTTGTCCTGCCGTTACCTCCTACGTCCTCTCTTCCTGATGTTGCTGACTCTCCGTCTGACCTTGCTCGTGCGTCCAGTCCGACTGTTACTCGCTTTCTTGCTACGGTGGTGACTGACCCTTCGTTCTCGTCTCCTGCTGCGTCTGCCTTAGTCGCTGAGCTCGTTGACTTTGCTGCTGTGTACCGCCTAGACTACCTTGCGAGTCTTGTTTCTGACCCTGGTCCTGCCTGTCCTCCGTCCGTCGGGGGTGAGACTGCTCTTGGCTGTACTTCCCTTGACAATGACGTTCTTGAGGACAGGCAGGAGGAGCTGGAGTGCCTTGCGGCCGCTGCACCCCATCTCGCGACCATGCTGCTTGCCCCTGAGGGAGACCCAGATGCCTTTGACATCCCCACCCCGCTCTCTTACAGAGAGGCGATTTCGGGTGAGTACTCCTCTCAGTGGCAGACAGCCATGGACGCAGAGATGGCTTCCTAGAAGTCCACAGGCACCTACGTCGACGAGGCTCCCCCGCCTGGGGCGAACATCGTCAGTGGCATGTGGATTTTCAGGGTGAAGCGGCCGCCGGGTTCTCCGCCTGCCTACAAGGCACGCTACGTTGCTCGAGGCTTCAGTCAGCGTGCGGGGGTCTACTTCTTCCAGACCTTCTCCCCCACCCCGAAGATGACCACTCTTCGGGTGTTACTACACGTTGCACCTCAGCGTGACTACGAGCTGCACTCCCTCGACTTCTCGACAGCTTTCTTGCAGGGTAGCCTTCACGAGGCCATCTGGTTGCGCCGTCCAGAGGGCTTCACTGAGTCGTTTCCTGAGGGTACCCAGTGGAGCCTACGGCGACCAGTGTACGGCCTGCATCAAGCGCCCCGCGAGTGGCACAACACACTGAGGACGACACTTGCTGCTCTTGGGTTTGCTCCTGCGACTTCTGACCCGTCGCTGTTTCTACGCACCGACACTACTCTGCCGCCGTTCTACATCCTCGTGTACGTCGACAACTTGGTTTTTGCTACTGCTGACACTGAGGCACTGGCCCTAGTGAAGGCGGAGCTGCAGGAGAGACACACCTGCACTGACCTGGGTGAGCTGCGGAGCTATCTTGGCTTGCAGATCACCCGTGACAGAGCACAACGCACCATCACCCTCACTCAGTCACACATGGTGCACCAGGTCCTTCAGCGCTTCGGCTTCACGTGGTCCTCGCCACAGCCCACTCCTCTGTCTACTGGCCACTCGCCCTCAGCTCCACCTTCGGACAAGTCCGTAGAGCCGAGTGGTCCGTACCCAGAGCTTGTGGGTTGCCTCATGTACGTGATGACGTGCACACGACCTGACCTCGCGTACCCTCTCAGCCTCCTGGCTCGCTACGTGGCACCTGGTCGACACCGAAAGGTGCACTTTGATGCTGCGAAGAGGGTACTTCGTTACTTGTGCAGTACATCGGGCATGGGGCTCGTGCTTGGAGGACGGGGTTCAGTGGTACTCACAGGACACTCTAACGCTTCTTGGGCCGACGACCAGGCGACTCAGCGTTCGTCACAGGGTTACACCTTCAATCTTGGCTCTGGTTCTGTCTCGTGGAGGTCCACTCGTTCTTCTTCTGTGCTTGGTTCCAGCTGTGAGGCCGAGATCTACGATGGGGCCATGGCTGCACAGGAGCTACGCTGGCTGACCTACCTACTGGCCGACTTGGGGGAGCGGCCTCGTTCTCCTCCGGTTCTGTACGTCGACAACAAGGCAATGCTTGCCTTGTGTCGCGAGCAGAGACTGGAGCAAAGAACGAAGCAAATTGCTCTTCGTTACTTTCTTGCTCGGGAGCTGCAGCAGCGTGGTCAGCTGCGTCTTGCTTACGTGGCCTCTCGGGCCAACACTGCTGATGTCTTCACCAAGGCCCTCGGGTCTGGTGATCTTCAGCATTTTTGCACTGCTCTTGGGCTTGTGCCCACTCTGCCTCACCTGCTGGTTGCTTGACTTGCTCTTGTTGTACACTGATATATATCTTTATACCTGCTTGTTTACTCTTGCTAGGTTGTGATCAGTGTACTGCCTTGCTATTATAACTCTGCATGTGAACTGGCCTTGTGGCCGCTTGCTTGTGCTCAGATTGTGTGGTGTCCTTGAGATCCACCCTTAGCTTTGCTTTGCTTTGCTTGTTCTCTTGCTTGACTGGTCTTGTGACCGTCTGTTGTGTTTGCTATCTCCCACTTAGCCTATGGGGGTGTGTCAAACTGTATGTTTCTGTTCTCTCTAGGCTATAGTGGGTTAGCCTACAAGGGGTACAACACTTTAGGGTTAGATACTTGTACTCATGCATGCTACCTAGTCCATCATTCTCACCTGCTTATTCTAACACGAGGGTCACCCGAAGGTCAACAGTCGAAGACAGTCAACGGTCGTGACCCTTGACTGCCCAGTAACCGCACTTGGTAGTTACGCGCTGCAACATGGTAACTGTCAAGAATAGCAATAGTCGTGGTTACTGTAGCAATGCAAATCGGTTAATAAGGGAATGTACCCCTTAGAGTACATGGCTAGCTAGGATTGCTATCTATTCCTTGTATCACTATCCTTTAATCATCTTGTTCTCCTTCAATCTTATCAACAAGGTCATTCAGAGACTTCATAGTCTTTCCTTAAACTTAACAGCCTTATTCTGTTCACTACGATCCTTCACATATAACAACAACAAAGGCTAGGTATAGTGAGATGGGGAATCAATGCCTTGTGATTGTGAGGCAGCGGCTTGCCAGTCTTGGGCGAGACAGTGCTGTCCCTGAACGTCTCCTCAATACACCTCCTCTCATAGTATGTGTAGCCATCATCAGCAATCACAGGGTCCTGCATTCGCGTCTGCCAGCGCTAAAAAAAAGAAAGAAGTAGACAAGCGACACTGTCAGGACTCAAGACGGGCAGGGAGATTTGTCTGATATGCGCCACACAGTTAGCAGGCAGGGAACACATGAATTGAAATCTACACAGCAGAAAGAGAGGCATGGCCAGGCAGGTACCAACTCACTGCAGCGCACTTGACTAGCTGGTCAAGTTTCAACGTACATACGGTACCTTGTTGCAAAAAGGCACATGACACGAGCTTCTCCTCGCATTCCCAAAGGAAACTTCCAATCTACAACACCATGCTAGGTGAATAGCTTCTCCTCCTGCCAGGGGCACCGCCTCCTCCTCTCCACCCCCCTCCACTGCCCCACGTGCCTCAGCTCCGGAAACACACACCCCACGAAGTCCGGCCAAGCCTCAGCATCGTTCAGCACGCACAGCAGCGCCATCGCCAGCATCCTCTCAGCCACCTTCCGCGGCCAAATCCCAGCCGCAGGATCCAGGCAGCACATGTATACCAGTAGCTATATAATGGTACATGATCCCATGGTGTTATCAGACAAGGACATGTACACTCGAGTCCTATATTTAGCAGGGTCATTTTCTTCCATTGGATTGGTATAGTACTCCTCGAACATGAGGCTGCCTGGAGACTTTCCCTGTGAGCGAATCCATTCACAAAGAGCCTTGTAAGTTTCCCCCAGTTTCTCATATGGCCCAATGTGCCACATGGCTGCTGCCTTTACATCAGGAAGGTTCACCACAATGATGCCATTCGCAGGATCATCAGCAACTGAATTGTGTAGGTTAATGAGGATGAGCAGATGGGGTAGAGCAGAGATTATTCAGGCGTTGAAATCAACATGAGGATTTGCGAGGTTCCAACTGAACCCAATGTAAACTCACTTCGCGTGCATATGTATAGTGATGGAGGGAGAGCATACAGCACAAGAAGAAAACAGTCCTCTCATTGCAAATACACAGCAACGACAAAAAGCTCCTTGACATACCCAAACTGGTGAAAAGGTATATTCTGAGTGCTACGTCACATAAGGAGCTGAAGGGAACGCGATCTCACCTGTCTTGTCTGGCGAGGAGAGCTTGAAGGGAATGGCGAGCTCCATGCGGGTGAGGAGAGGCGTGAAGAAGTAGTAGATGCAATACGAACGGCCGTCCCTCTCCACTCCGCACTGGCAGAAGTACAAAAACAACGACGGAAGGCATGAAGGGTCATTCAGGCAGTCTCCTTTTGAAAGGCCTCGGAGAATGCGACGGCAGCGAACGGTGATGAGGACTTGCGTTCTGCTTATCCGTACAGATCCCCGCTAACGAGAGTCCGTCGAAATGCACGCAAGAGTGTACTGATGCCTAGGTCAACTTAATCTGGCTGGTTCATTCTATTGTGACCAGACAAAGCCGACAATAATACAAAATATGGCAGGTAGCTGAAGCATTGGTTCTTAGCAACTGACAAACAAAATCACTACTAGAGAAAAAATACAACCAGAACAAACAATATTATAAAAACACATTTAGCTGTTCACCACAAAGGCCAGTATAGTGAGGTTGGGAATCAATGCCTTGTGAGACAGGGGCTTGCCAGTCTTGGGGGAGACACTGCTGTCCTTGAACCACTCCTCTATATGCCTCCTCTCATACGTGTAGCCATCAGCAGCAATCACAGGGTCCTGCATTCGAGTCTGCAAGGACGCACCAAAACGAAACAAGACAAGGGACATTGTCAAACAAGGAAGGACGAATTGAGCCATGTGCGGCACACAGTCAAAGCAGGCAGGACACATAAGATCTGAAATCTAGCATGGTCAAGTTTCAACGTACGGTACATGTTTTGTTGCAACCAGGCACATGCCTTGACTTTCGAGTTAAACGAAACAACATGCCAGCTGACTAACTTGCTCAATCTTGGCCCAAGTCTCACCTCACTCAGCGGGCACATGAGCTTCTTCCTGCCCGAAGATGGATCCTGAGTCAAGCAAAACAACAGACCATGACTACCTAATTCAAGCTAGCCCGAGTCTCACCTTGCTCAAAGGGCACATGAGCTTCTCCTCCTGCCCAGGGCACCGCCGCTTCCTCTCCGCCTCGGCCCACTGCCCCACATGCCTCAGCTCCGGAAACACACTCCCCACGAAGTCCGGCCGAGCCTCAGCATCGTTCAGCACGCACAGCAGCGCCATCGCCAGCATCCTCTCAGCCACCTTCCGCGGCCAAATCCCAGCCGCAGGATCTAAACAGCACATCAGCTCATCAACGGCTGCCTCCACTGCACCCCCTGCCCGCTTGAACGGCATCAACTGCTTGTGGAGAGCCCGGATATTCGGCTGCCCAAGCAGCAGCTGGAGGATTATCAGCCCGAGCGCATACACATCACTCTTCCCCGTCACCTCCCCTGTTTGCATCTCCCACGGGTCTATGTACCCCGCAGACCCAGACAGACGCCACGTTTCCGGCAGCACCTCGCCCTGCCCCACGAACTGGGCTATCCCCACATCGCCCACCTTGCTGCGCTTGTTTCTATCCAGAAGGATATTCTCCGGCCGCAAGTCCCCGTGGACGATGGGCGGGTCGTGGCAGTGGAGGAACACCAGGGCTGCTGCCAGCTCGCACGACACGCGGATCCGGTCGTGCCACGTCAGCGGGGCCCACGGCTTGGCGCCGGGGGTTTTGGCGAGGCGCTCGAGGAGAGAGCCTCCTGGGAGGTGCTCGTAGACTATGCAGCGCTCCTCGGGGCACTGACCCATCATCAGGGCCACGTGTGGGTGGCGCACTTTGGACAGTATGCTCACTTCTCTTTGGAAATCCTCCTCCTCGCACGAGCTTGCGTGCTCGAGACGTTTTACGGCGACAGTAGAGCCGAAGAGCATGCCCTTGTGGAGAGTACCGAGGACGGTTTTAGTGAGGAAGGTTTTGGGGGAGAAGTGGTCGGTGGCCTGGAGGATCTCGGCTCGGGAGAAGGTTCGGCACTCGGTGGAGGGTCGGGACTCGGTGGAGGTTCGGGATTCGGTTCGGAAGAGACGGGAGGCGCTGCTGGCCTCGGAGCGGGCAGGCGACCAGGCAGAGAGGCTGCTGGAGGAGGAATACTGTGGGAGAAAGGGGAGGGAGAGAGAAATGGGCAAGGGGGAAGAAGGAAGGGAAAAGAAAGGAGAACGGGAGAACGATAACGTGTTGAGTGAGGATTTCGCACTGGTGAGCAGTGCCCTCAAATCAAAATATGTTTGCTACTGCAGGAGGAGTGAAGCAGCGACCAGGCTGAGAGGCTGCTGGAGGAGGAATAGCGTGGGTGGGGCAGGCAGCTTACCTTGGTTGAGAACTCGCCAGTGACAAACGTGATGCCCTCCTCCTGCTCCTCCTCCCCCTTCACCCTCTCCCTCTCCCTCTCCCTAGCTGCACTGTCCAAACTGCCCCTGTGGCGGTTACTGTTACTCCAGTTGTTGCGGTGGCTGGTGGTACCTCCGCTGCTGCTGCGGCTGCTGATGCTGCAAGGGCTCTCCACCTCGGGGAGAGAAGCAAAGGCGGAGTCTAGAAGCGAGTCCTGAGGCGAGTCGTGACTCAAGTCAAGCGCTGCCCCGCACAGAGGGGCCAGTGCAGGCCGAGGGGTGGAGGGCAACTGCATGGCCTCAGGGGTGCATGGCATGTGTGCGGGCCCCAGGACACCCTGAGGGGTGGACGGCATCTGCACGGCACCCAACACACCCTTAGGGCTGGAGGGCAGCTGGGCAAGAGCCGAGATGGAGGAAGATTTGGTGAGGCCAAGACCGGGTGGTGTTGTGGGCGGGTTGGGGTTGGAAAACGCCTTGGGCAGGCGAGGGGTGGTGGGTGCTTGGGAGGGAAAGATGGTGGGGGTACCAGGTGACTTGGGCAGGCGAGGGGTGATGGGAGCTTGCGCAGAGTCATGTGGGCTGGACGGTGAGAGGGATAACCGAGGGCTGGAGACCGTTTCAAAGGGGTGATCCGGGATGGACAGCGCTATGGGCGCCTGAGAAATAGGTGACTTGGCGGAAGCATGGCTGGGAGGAGAGCCGGGGAGGGCCGTGAGGGCAGATGGTGGAGATGGGCGGCTGGGGAACGTGCGAGGGGAAGTGTGACGGGGGGGTGGTTTAGCTGGGTGGCCGTGCTGTGCTGCACTCACGCTGCGACTAGTAGAGGCACGCTCCAAGACCTCCTTTCCTGCGTCCTCACGTTCCTCCTCCTCCTCGTCCTCGTCCTCTCCCTCCTCGCCCTCCTCCAGTTCAGGGATGCTAGCAGCACTGCTGACAGAGCAGCTGGCCATGGACCGTGCCACAGGGGACTTGGGGGGCGTGGGTGGCCGCGCTCGCAGATTCAACGGTAGTCCAAGCCTCCCTGCCTTCTCGCTCCCGCCTCTCTCACTGCCACTCTCCTCCCGCCCGTCCCTCTCGCTCCCCCTCTCGCTTCCTCTCTCGCTCCCCATTTCCTCCTCCTCATCCTCATCATCTGAGTCATCCATGAGAACAGCAGCCGACATGCCCAGGCACAGCGGCTCCGACTGGGGGATCATGCTGCGGCCCCTCCCCGCCATCGCCCCTGCCCTTGCCGCCCTCTGCACCGCGTCTGCTAACGAGCCACCACCAAACCCACCCACACCAGCACCAGCAGCAGCAGCACCACCAGCAGCGGCACCAGCAGCGGCACCAGCAGCAGCAGCACCGGCGGCAGCAGCAGTGGTGGTGAAATCAGCGTCGCCGTAGTAACCGACAGTGCCGAGCAGGGGAGCGCCGGAGCCGACAGCAAAGGTGCCGGAGCAGGTGCCAGCAGTCATGAGTGCCTCGAGATTGGAGAACGAGTTCTGCCTCTGCAGCCGCGCCCGTAGCATCTCCCCACTACCAGCACCACCAGCTGCACCAGCCGCACTAGCCGCACCACCACCAGCAGCTGTAGCACCAGCAGCGCCAGCACCGGCCCCGCTGTGGCTGCCAAAGCTGCCACTGAGAGAAAACCCTCTAGCGCGGTTAAAGAAGTGGACACTGCCGTTCCCACTGCCGCTGCCGCTGCTGCCGAAGCTGCTGCTATCGTCGCTATCCAAGCCGTCAGCTCCCCCTGCCCGGCCGCGGCGGGCGCCGCTGGGGCTGAGCATGCGGCGCACAAAGGCAGCGCGCATGGAGGCGGAGGGGATGCGGCGCTTGATGGAGCGCGAGGCAAAGGAGGCCGACACGTTGAAGGGGCGGAAGTGGATGCGCGGAGAAGGCGGCTGCACACGCGGGTCAACCCCAGTCACCCCTGCCGCCCCTGTCATCCCTGTCATCCCAGCCGCTGCGGTTGAGCCTGAGGCCAGTGCTGCTGAATACGCCACGGCTGCTGCGGTGGATGGGGAGCAGACAGCTGGCGGCGACGGTGGCAGTCCCGGCCGATACACCTCCGCATGGTGGGAAACTCCTTGAAGAGAATTCCCTTGAAGAGCAGAATTCGCCTGGTGGTGGGGGTTCCCCGGCTGGGGGTCAGTGGTGTCAGTGGGGGAGGTGGTGCGCGGGGAGAAGAGGCGCGGGGTGAAGCCGCGAGGGGAGAGCGGCGGCAGGCCCTTACGGTTGGGCGACGGCCCTCTGCTGCCGTTGAAACTGTGCAGCGCTGAGGGCGCACCGAGGCCGTTGATCAGGAGGAGGGTTTCGATGGACGGTGCAGATGCGTTGAGGTGGCCCTGGAGCGTGATGAGCTTGTCAGCCTTGGGAATGAGCAGCGTGCAGGTGGAGGGGAGGAGATCCAGAGGGAAGTCCATGATGGGCGCGGGCTCGTGCTTGCGGAATAGGCGCCGACTGCAGGAAACGCAGGGGAAAGTGAGCAGAAGAAAGACGGTTTTATGAATCCAGATATGACCCCACTGGCGGCACTTATTGGAAAGCACGAACAAACGAAACACGGAAATTGAGGGGGAAAGAAGGAAGCAGATGACAGCTCTCTGTGTGTGCTGCTGGCTACCCACCTGGCCTTCTTAGGCGGCGGCGTATTGCTGATGTACAGCCGCTGCGCCTTGAACTTGACAGCTGCAATGCACAGCCCTCGCTCCCACGCCTCCGCTGCCTCCGTGTGCATCGTTATGGCCGGGCGTGTCTGAGGGGTTGGGTGGACGCAAAGGGAGGAACAAACAAATGCGGCAGCGACTTTTGCGACGACTCAAAAGTCACCTCTTCCGCCTCTGTGTGCATGGTTATGGCTGGGCGTGTGACGTGTCTGAAGGAAGCGAGCTGGACGCTAAGGGAGGAACACATCAGGGATAAGGAGGTAGGCAGTTAAGACATGAAGAGGATAACAGAACAGAACTTCCTGCACGAAGCATGGGGCAGCAATGGCGATAGATAATCGGAAAATGACATGCTTTCGGGGAGGTTGGGAAGGTAAGGGGGAAGAGGACAGGACGCAAAACAAGCTAGCTTACCGAGGGCGAAGCAAGGTCTGCGGCGCTCTGTTTGCAGCCGGGGGTGGGGTAGCACTCCCCCTCCTCTGCCTGCGTCGCCTGTGCCTGGAGCTGCCGCGCGAATGACATCTTGCCCGCCATGCCGTGCGCTGGTGACGCGCTCCCGCTCATGCCTGGTGGTGGGGAACAAAAGCATGAAAAGAGGACGAAGGGGGGAGAAAGAGAGAGGAGGGGGGAGAAAGGGGGAGGATCGGAGAGGGGAAGAGGGAAGGATTAGGTTGTGCAGGACTGATGAAGTTTGGGTGCTTAGGTCATGAAATGGGAGAATAAAGAGATGCGGAGACAGGTCAGGATGTGGCCCGGTGAAAGCAAGTGCAGGCGAAGGATTAGGATTACACAAACGGATTGGGGGGAATCCAGTGACAGGGTGGAGGAGCAGCGTACCAGCTGTGACTGTAACAAGTACAAGCTGTACTCTGCCTTTGTGGCTCTTAGCATCGAGGTTAGCGCGAGCGAGAGCGCCAATGGCGGATTCGATGCTCTTGCTGATGTCCACCAGCCACACGGCGCTTGGCTCCGGCATCCTCGTTATAAGTCGTAGTAACTTTCCAACGGAGGAACCGCAGTGGATGTCCTTCAAAAGAGAGAGTCCGCAAGAGAGTAGTTCCTCGTAGGAAAACCTTGAAATAGAATCTCGGCTCGAGATGACTAAGCGGGCCTGGAACGAACGTAAGGATCCTCAATACTATCACCAAGCTGCATGTGACAGCAATGGACACGAAGCTCCTCCCTGGCAATTGCCTTGGTTTATCTCTCGACTGATCCTGACGATATCTCCGTTGATTTAGCTTTCCTGTTCGTCGTAGCAGCATCGGCGTGGGGCTAAAAGCTGCTCGGAAAAGCGCAAACCCAGGCGTTGATGACATCATGGCGGCTGAATCAGCAGATCAGATCTGCACCGTTGAATCTGGCAACGCTTTCCTGGTCGTTACTCCTGGATCGCACCGTTTGATGGTTGCTTTTGCTAGTCGGCTGCTTGCGGGTCGTTCCAAAGGCAGCAGTTTCAGTTCAGAGCGACAGGAAATATCTGCGAATGGGATTTCCTGGACTACTCGCGTTAGCTCCGTCTGTAAGCAGCCGAACAATCTCCACCGTCCGATCTGTATCTGTTCCGACAACAACGCAGTGGTACATCACATTCCGGGTTGAGTGATATGCGCTGTACTGTACATTCTTCGATGGATCTACAGTAAACTTCCTGCAAATGCGCTCAAGGCGTTCTTGTCGGCCAGCTTCGCAGCAAGCTTTCAGCTGGTGGCGATTCGTCTGGCCAGGCGCTCTGATGATGGTCTAGCGATGAGCATCCTACAAATGGCAACCACAGTGCTCTGCTCTGAGGGAACTGGAAAGGGTGCTTCGGTAATGTCGAAGGAGGAAAATCTACGACCAAGATCCTCATCGCAAGAAATAAGCTGCATCTCCACCGTCGATTGTACCGCTGAAGCCGGACAATACCTAGGAATGCGATGGGTCTGCTGGCTAACGAAAAGCGGTTGCGTTTGCCGCGGAACGCCATCGCCACGAAGGTCAAAACGCTATGTGAACCAGGAAGCAAGGGAGGTGAGGTGACCAGACAAGACTCGCTGCCAAGCAAGCAGGGAGCAGTTGGGAGTTGCGGTGGAAAGTCGTCTCGTGGTCAGGTGGCAATCGCCTCTTGGACTTCAATTTGACGGACTCTGATCTGTTCCGTTCCGAATTGTTGGCGTGGCGGGGATCCTCCATTCCATCTCAAGGCGGCATTGTACAAGAGCCGTCGGATTGAACTCGGCTGGCTGACGGCTCTTGCAATTCACCTGTGTCCCTTCGGTTCTCGCACGAACGAGTCATTGAGCATCTGGCACCCAACTGGTTCGCGAGTGCTCTCTATCATACTGTGCACACCTTGTTTGTAATGAGTTCTGAAGAGAAGAGTGCGCAGAATGCAATATCGCGGAAGTGATTACAACGTCTGAGCAACTAATGAGGCCTAGCACTAATATAGCAAAGCTAGCTAGGCGACGGTCGCGGAGTCGCGAGATGGTTGGGTGCAGGTTCAGGGTTGGGAAACCCGAAGGCGACGCGATGGTGGTTCGGAGGGCGAGGTCTTCGGACCGAGCCTGTTCTCCGAAAACCGGAGTTGTTCGCGTACAGTGTGACCCAGTAAGGAATCACGGAAAATTCCTTACACTACCCCCCCTTTAAAAAAGGTGGTGTATATCCGGGACGCCCCGGCGGGTCAGGTAAGCACCCACAACCGGATGTCCTTGTAGCGAGTCAGCTACAACATACGTGTAGTCCTCGCTCGTGCGATCCTTCCAGCGAAGCAGGAAGAGGACCTTGCGTCCGGCAGCCGTCAGATCCACGCGATGATTCAAGATCTTCCAGGGCTCGAGCGTTGGTTCTGTTACGATATGGAATTGTTGAATAAACATTCCTGGGTAACGAATCCTTAAAACGCGAAGATGACTGCAGCGAGGACGAAGACCGAGCGACAAGACAGTTATCGAAGACAGTTACAAGCAGGAATAATTCGAAGTGCAAAGCGCGGGAAAAGTTCAAACGGTTACCGAACCGCTTGCAGTTACCGAACCGCACGGTTGCAATCCTGCATCTAGATTAGCCCTAAGGGGAATGTACCCCCTCAGAGTACATGGCTAGCTAGGACCTTTCGTATTCCACTGTATTCCAATATAAACCCCTGTACCGCATTGTATTATTCACTTCTGTCGAGATTCAATTCTCCTTCTACTGACAGATTCCGTATCCGACATTACCTAGAAATCTTCCGCTGCTACACTCCGTGCGATCAACCTGAGACGATCCTATAAGACGGTTCAGATTGTATCATGGTATGAGAGCCACTCAGGATTCCGCGCACCACCACCTTTGATCCAAATTCAAGTTCAAGGTGGCGTTCGGTACGCGCTCCCGCCGAAACATGGCTGGAGGATCTGGCGGGCAGGCGACTAACACCGCCGAAGCACCCGCCAACCCTACCGCGAACTCCGCGGGAACTACCACCGTCAACAATGCGCTACTGGAGCAACTCATCCAGTGGATCACTATGCTGGAATCAGGAGTTCAACGATTGAAGAGCAACAACCTCGAAACCACGCAACAACCCGATCAACCGGCCGCTCCAACCAAGGAACCGAGCCCAACCACCTTCGACCTCGGGTCAAACTCTGTCAGAATCCCAACCACTAGACCACTGGGATAAAAGGGCTTGTTTCAGTAGCGGGTCAGTGCGCCCATAACCCCCCAGGCAAACGCGCCTGTAACCCCCCCTAGGATCGATCGGGGATCTCACAGTGCAGCTCTACTGACACCCCCCCACACTGGGAGGCCCAGGACTGAGCACAGTGGCAACGGCCTACATGTGCATACACCGGGATTCGAACCCGAGACCTCTCTGATACCATGTCAGAATCCCAACCACTAGACCACTGGGATAAAAGGGCTTGTTTCAGTAGCGGGTCAGTGCGCCCATAACCCCCCAGGCAAACGCGCCTGTAACCCCCCCTAGGATCGATCGGGGATCTCACAGTGCAGCTCTACTGACAAACTCCTCTGCTCCAACCGTCCCTCGTCCAAGTGACGAAGCCGTGCTCGCAGCCCAGAACAAGTTTCTAACTATCTCTAAGATACGAACCAGCACCGTGTTTAGCGGGCGTGACTTCTACACCTGGAGCTTCGAGCTCGAGCTATTTCTCCAAAACGCGCAAATCTTTTGCTACTTCGACGGAAGTTACGCTGGCCCCACCAGCGACACTGACGACGCTAAGGCTTAATACTATAATGAGTCACTCATGGCACATAGCGTCCTTCTCCGAAATATGGCGCCAACCGAACAACTCGGCATTCGCCCCTACAAAACTCACCAGGCTCCCGCCATGGCCGCCTGGAGCTACCTCAACAAAACCTACCAGCCTAAAGACTCCGTGTCATCCAGCCGCCTACTCCAGCAACTAATGGAGGTCAAGATGGCACCCGGCGGGAAGGCAAATTCTTACATCAACCGTTGCCGCAGCGTCCGCGATCAACTCCTGAAGCTCGGAAACACAATCTCTGAAGATATGTTCGTCACCATCGTACTTCGAGGGCTGGGACCGCACTGGAATCCATGCAAGGCTCTTCTTCGCCAACAAGGAATAATTTCTGAGGCGCATCTCTGAACAACTCTGCTGCACGAGCAGCGAGACATGGATTTCAACCAAGAAAAGGGGACGCGCCGCGAGCAAATCGCCTTCTACTATAATCGCGATCAACGAAGGAATCGCGACACACGCCTACGACAGTATTATTGCAAAAATTGCAAAGCCTTCGGTCACTCCACCGAACGCTGCCGATCCGGACCACGATACGACTCCGCGTTGTGGAACAACTCTGCCTACGGTCCCGATCCCTCGCGCCAGGCAAACCGACCGTCTTCGGACTATCGGCCTGCCCCGCGCCATCCGACGCAGCCCGACACTCAGCGCGCACCACAGCACAACAACGGTGTTCGTCATGTCATGGGCAACATGGCGATGCGCATCCACCGCCGCACACGGCGCACAAATTGGCGACACCTGCGATACGTCTCTCCGCCTCCGGCGGGAGAGGAAGTTCACTTCACCGGCTACAACAACCTGTTCACGCAGGATGGAGAATTCGTCTCCGACGAACACGAGCAAGACTGGGATCTGCAGAACTCGCTGCTCGAGTCACCGCCACACGACGACGACTTTCTCAACTCGCCGTCAATCACAAGCTACTACTACAGTCACAGCATCGACACACGCCCCGTCGACAACTATCGCGCTGCTGGCGACAAACGCATTCCGTTTCGCAACACACCCAATCTGGCACTCTCGACACAACACCGCGCAAACTCCTACAACACATGGTACCTTGACAGCTGCTGCGGGCAACACATGGTGGGCTCCAAGCGCTTCATCTCCAACGCAAGTGCAATCCCGCAACCCACCATAGTCACCGTGGCCAACAATCATCAGCTCGAAGCCAGGGCTTGCGGCATCGTCGTCCTCAAAGTACACGACAACGTAATTCATATCAGTCTCAACGACGTGCTCATCGTGCGGGATCTCCAGTACAACCTCCTATCCTACGACCAGCTGGTTCACAGCGGTGTTCTCATGACTACAGACCCCGAAACCCGCTGCATCATCATGCACTGGAAAGACTATAGCAAACCCAACAGCACACCGCGATACATCGGCAAGGCACATTCTGACAACGGCGTCTACATCTTCGATTTTGACATCCCCGATTGCAGCGCTGACTCAGGGGATCTCATTGATCTGCAACCACAGGACATCGTGTGGTCTCGCAAACCTACACACCCTGACGGCCGGCCCTGGGATCAAGCGTCACGCTCATCCAAGTGAAATCGATCTTCACGCACTTGGACCTGACGGCCTCTGCCGCAACTGCCACACTCCAACTGCTTCCACGACAGACAGAGGCAAAGCACCACCTGATGAAGGTGAATCCTCTGCCGCAGCAGCAAGGCGTCTGTTAGCCACAGCATCAACCAACAAC